AGACCGACGTTGCGAAGCTGGAGCTGCAGGCCTCCGACCTGGAGCCTTGTCTCTGGTGTTTGCGGTCTTCCGAGTCAAACGCGCTACTGGGCCGGGTGTTGCGCCGCGCCACGTGGGTGACTTCATCTTTTGCGGGGACCGCGGACATCCTGCTTGGAGAGCCAGCATGAAGGGCATCAGGGAGCTATGCACCTGGGGCACCTGGGAGGACATGGATGAAGGCGCGAACTCCACCGAGCAATGTGGGGTCACGATCGTAAGTACCCCAAGGCCCGCTCTACAGACAAGCTGACAGAGGCGGATCAGAGCACTCTACGGACATGGTGTGGAGCTCTTTCTTGGCTGGGGGTAAATACTCTTCCGTGGGTTTTGACATGGGTAGCCCACGTTCACAGCAAAATCCCCGACGGAGACTACAAGCTATTTGGAATCGCCAACAATATCACCAAGATGGCCAAAGCTAACCTAGCAGATGGGATCCAAAAAAATCGGCACGCGCTACCTGGGCGCGGACAGGCTCACTCAGATTTCCGTATCTATACCTGGTGCGATGCTGTCTGGGCCAGTCGACCTGACGGACATTCCCAAGGAAGACATGTGACCGCCATCAGATCGGCAGAAGAACCCTTTCGTCAGGCCAGCGATTTCACCGTCCTGGATTGGGGACCTCGCAAGCTGACGAGGGTAACCCGGTCCAGTTTAGCTACCGAAATCCAGGAGGCCAGCGCCGCCGAGGGCGAGCAGACGATGGTCCGATTGGTCTTATATGAGGTGCTCGTCGGCACCCTCAATCTCCACGGCCGACGCGAGGCCCTACGACAGGTGCCTGCGGCCCTCGCGACGGACTGCAAGGCATTCTATGACGGCGTGGTGAAGTCCGATTCGACTGGGCTGGGTCCTGGACTAACGGCGGCCGGCCATCGAAGCCCTCGCTCTCCGCCGAGCCCTCGAGGAGGGCAGCACCATCGTCCGCTGGGTGCACAGGCATGCTCAGCTGGCGGATGGCATGACCAAGGCCAGCCTCCAAGTTTTCCACGTGCTACATGCCTTCCTGAAGAAGCAGAGGTGGAAGATCGTTCACGATGACCGGTTCCCTTCTGCTCGAAAGAGATCAGCCCTCGGGTAGGCGGGACGACCGACCAGGACCACGCCGAGGCCAAGACGATCTTCGACAGCAGGAAGCGGGACCGCTCCTCAGCCTCGACTACCGGCGACGTGCTCAAGCCGATTTCTTTTCCCCCTGTTTGTTTGCGAGGACGCACACTTTCGTGAAGTGTCGGCTTGTGGCACGTGTTGCGCCCTTCCCGCAGCCTCTTAGACTCGGCAGCGTGTGGGCGGGATTCATTATGCAGCCCTGTGAGCACGGCGAGACAGGCGCGTACCAGGGGGCGCTTGCCATTGCACAGAAAGCATCGGGTGCTTTCATCATCATCATCATCATCATCATCATCATCATCATCATCATCATCACCATCACCATCACCATCACCATCACCATCACCATCATCATCGTCTACGAGTAGACACGAGCACCAGGGCTCTGGCGAGCCCCCGATTTCAGACCCGGGACCCCCCCCCCCTGACCCGCCGGGACTTGAGACCACCCCTTCAGGACCCGCCGGGACCCTCGGGAGGGGCGGCATTCTGGCCCGAACCACCCCCCACCCACCCCCCACCCCCCGCCCCACCCCGTCAGGGAGGGAAAAAAAGGCCACCCTATCAGGGAGGGGACACAAGAATTGGGGAATCGACGTAACTACGACGGTTATTTTCTTTGTTGCTCAATTTCCGTAGGACTGACGACGACGTCGACGACGATGGCAAAGCCTCTCGCACAGTATAACATCCTGCCAATTTTCTGTTTACCCTCCTCATCATCATCATCATCCTCATCGTCATCGTCATCAGCATCATCATCATCATCATCATCATCGTCAGCATCATCGTCTTTTTCATCATCGTCAGCATCATCATCATCATCATCATCATCATCATCATCATCATTGTCATCAGCATCATCAGCATCATCAGCATCGCCCTCAAAATCGTCAGCATCATTATCAGCACCATCGTCATCATCATCGTCACCAGCATCATGATCATCAACATCGTCAGCATCATCGTCACCGTTAGCATCATCATCGTCATCAGCAGCATCACCATCGTCATCAGCAGCGTCATCATCGTCATCGTCAACATCATCATCATCATCATCAGCATCATCACAATCATCATTGTTATCGTCATTATCATCATCATCATCCTCAGCCTCATCGTCATCACCACCATCATCATCGTCATCAGCATCATCCCCATTGTCAGCATCATCATCATCGTCATCAGCATCATCGTCAGCATCATCATCATCATCATCGTCGGCATCATCGTCAGCATCATCATCGTCAGCATCATCATCATCGTCATCTCCATCATCATCATCATCATGATCATCGTCAGCATCATCATCATCTTCATCATCGTCAGCAACATCATCATCATCCTCGTCTCCATCACCGTCAGCATCGTCATCATCATCATCATCGTCAGCAGCATCATCATCATCGTCAGCATCGTCATCATCATCATTGTCATCAGCATCATCATCACCATCATCGGCATAAGCATCATCATAATCGTCAGCAGCATCATCATCAACAGCATCGTTTGCATCATCATCATCATCATCATCATCATCGTCATCATCAGCATTATCATCATCATCGTCACCAGCATCATCATCATCATCATCATCGTCATCAGCATTATCATCATCATTACTATGATCGTCAGCATCATCATCATCGTCAGCATCATCATCATCACCATCGTCGTCGGCATCATAAACATCATCATCATCATCATCATGATAATCATCATCATCGTCAGCATCGTCATCATCGTCAGCATCAACATCGTCATCAACATCATCATCGTCACCATCATCATCCTCATCATCACCATCGTCGGCATCATCATCACCATCATCATCGTCATCGGCAGCATCATCATCCTCATCATCATCATCATCGTCGGCAGCATCATCGTCTGCATCATCATCCCCATCATCATCATCATCATCGTCAGCATCATCACCATGATCATCGTCATCATCATCATCAGCATCATCATCGTCAGCATCATCATCCTCATCATCATCATCGTCAGCATCATCACCATCATCATCGTCATCAGCATCATCATCGTCGGCAGCATCATCGTGAGCATCAGCATCATCATCGTCATCAGAATCATCATCGTCATCATCAGCATCATCATCATAATCATCATCATCGTCAGCATCATACTCATCATCAGCATCGTCATCAGCATCACCATCCTCATCGTTAGCATCATCATCATCATCGTCAGCCGCATCATCATCATCATCGTCAGCATCATCATCAGCATCATCGTCATCATCATCAGCACCATCATCGTCAGCATCATCATCGTCAGCACCATCATCATCGTCAACGTCGTCATCATCATCATTATCGTCGGCAGCATCATCATAGTCATCATCATCATCGTCGTCAGCATCATCGCCAGCATCATAGTCATCATCAGCACCGTCATCAGCATCACCATGATCATCGTCATCATCATCATCGTCAGTATCATCATCATCGTCAGCACCATCATCATCGTCAGCATCAGCATCATCATCATCATCATCATCATCATCGTCAGCATCATCATCATCGCCATCGTCATTATCATCATCGTCAGCATCAGCATCATCATTATCATCATCATCATCGTCATCATCATCGTCAGCATCACCATCATCAGCATCAGCATCACCATCATCATCATCGTCAGTATCATCATCACCATCGTCATCGTCACCGTTGGTATCATCGTCATCGTCAGCATCATGATCATCATCATCATCATCATCATCATCATCATCATCATCTTCATCATCATCATCATCATCATCATCATCATCGTCAGCATCATCATCGTCAGCATCAGCTTCATCGTCATCATCATGATCATCATCGTCAGCATCATCATCATCGTTGTCATCGTCAGCATCATCATCATCGTTATCAGCATCATCAAAATCATCAGCACCATTATCGTCAGCATCATCATTATCATCGTCAGCATCATCATCATCATCGTCATCATCATCGTCATCAGCATCATCATCATCGTCAACATCGTCATCATCATCATCATCATCATCATCATCATCATCATCGTCAGCATCATCATGATCAGCATCATCATCGTCATCAGCATCTTGATCGTCATCAGAATCATCGTCATCAGCAATATCATCGTCATCATCGTCAGCATCATCATCATTATCATCATCATCAGCGTCAGCACCATCATCAACACCACCATCATGATCGCAATCAGCATCATCTTCATCATCGTCATCATCGCCAGCATCATCATCGCCATCATCATCATCATCGTCAGCACCATCATCATCGTCAGCATCATCGTCAGCATCATCGTGATCGTCATCATCATTATCATCATCATCATCATCATCATCAGCATGGTCAGCATCATCATCATCAGCGTCATCATCATCGTCAGCATAATCGTCATCGTCAGCATTATCATCATCAGCAGCATCGTCAGCACCATCATCATCATCATCATCATCATCATCATCATCATCGTCATCAGCATCATCATCATCGTCAGCATTATCATCATCAGCAGCATCGTCAGCATCATCATCATCGTCATCAGCATCATTATCATCGTCATCATGATCATCATCCGCATCATCATCATCGTCATCGTCGTCATCATCATCGTCAGTATCATCATCTTCATCTTCAGCATCATCACCATCAGCATCATCATCTTCATCAGCACCATCATCATCATTATCATCATCGTCATCAGCATCATCATCGTCAGCATCATCCTCATCATCGTCAGCAGCACCAGCATCATCAGCATCGTCAGCATCATCATCATCATCGTCATCCCTCCTTCTCCCTCCTGCTCCTCCTCCTCCTCGCCAGGACCTCGGCCTGGAGCCGGCGCCGGGAGCCGCGGAGCTGCGGACGCTGATCTCCAACCGCTTCGCGCAGGACCCGCCCAGGGCGCCGCGCGGCGCGTTCTCGACGGCCCTCGGGCTGCCATCGGCGGCGTCCAGCGTGGCCTCCGGCGTCCGCCCCACGCCCTGGATCGAAGACGATCAACCGCAATCGAAGCATCAATGTTTGGCGCTTCGCGCGGAGCGCCAAAAGTTTCTTCTTCCGGTCCAACGTGTGGCCTCTGGCCTCCGCCCCACGCCCTGGAGGTTTCTGGGCGGCTCTTCTCGCAAGCGATGTTTCTCCCCCCCCCCCCCCCCCCCCCCGGCTTTTCGACGAAGAGGGAGGCCGCTCAGGAATTCGGCGGCGAGCGAGGGGGGGAGTGAGAAGGAGGAGGCCCTCTCAGAAGGCGGCGGGACTTCTCAGAAGCCCACGCGCCTTCTGAGGGGTTTGTCTTCGGGGAAGGCTTAGAAAACTTCTCTGAAGGCCGTGGGACTTCCGAACCTTGTGAGAAGGCCTTCTCCTTCTCATTCTTACTTCCCTCCTCGCTCGCCGCCGAGAAAGGGAGGAAATCCCTGGGAATACCCAGAGGGGATACTCGGACGCACCCCTATCGAGGATGGACGACCCCCATCGTATGTCCCAGGGTTGGGCCCCAGATTTTTGGTCCATTCGAAAACCTCCCGAAGCCTGGGATTGGGGTCGACATACCCCGTGTTATCTTCTCGGAGCACATTCAGGAGGATGGGGCAAGTTGGAGCCGACTGGGGGTCTGAGGTGGCCCAGCATTGGTTCCGGCCAGCAGGAAGGGGGAGGGCAGAGGTTCGAGGTGCGGGGCTCAGGAAGGTCTGATGTCTCTTTCGGCATCCGGGGGGCCCCGGGACCGCCAAGAAACGGATCCGGGGTGAAAAATTGCACCAGGTGGACTTTGGGAGAGGGTCCCGGGACCGATTCTGAGCAGACTGGCCCTCGTCCCCCACCCCCCTTGACCGATTGCTTGGAGATCCATCCAGTTCAGACCCCCCAGGCAATCGCCAAGTCAGGAGGCTGGAGCAAGGAGCAGCTCGGGTTCGGAGGGGCTCGCTGTTCCTCTGGGTCCTTCCTCGGCGGTTGGCCCTGGCGCTCCTCAAGCACCCGCGGCGTTCGTAGGGGGCTAAAGAGGGGGTGTTTTTCGTTCCGCATGTGGCGTTCCGCATGGCAGCAGCTCGGCTGTACAGTAGTTGGGAGGACCAGCTGCAGGTGGAGGGGGGAATGAGGGGAGCAGAAGGAGGAGGAGGAGGAGAAGGAGGAGGAGGAGGATCTAGCTGGATCTGGCTGGCCTGATTCACTTCACGCTATGAATGGCCTCTGGAGCCGACGGAAGTATGCGTCCACCATCTCCCAGGCCTATCCTGGGCGACGTGGGGCGGCATCCGAAAAGTCTAACCTTGCGCACAAGGCCCGATTGTAGCTGAGAACGGTTGGCTCCAGCCACGCGCTCCCTCTTCCACCAGCCCCTCGTAGGGGGGGTCATGGGGCGGGCCTGGCTCGGTTTCAAACCCAGCCCTTCCTCACACTTGCAATGATCGTGTGCACTGCTTATGCCTTTCTTCTCGCACGAACTACTCGCAGCAGTGTAGCTGATATGTCGCTCACTGTCGGCCTTCTCAAATGGGCTACTCGCAGCGTTGTAGCTGATATGTCGTTCACCGCCGCCGATCGACGAAGATCGACTCCCAGAGTTGTAGCTCATGTGTCGCCAACTGCATGCCTTCTCGCACAAACTACTCCAAGCATTTTAGCTGAGATTTCGCTTGCTGCCGCCCTTCTCGCTCGAGCTACTCCCAGCGTTGTAGCTCGTGCGCCGCTCACTGTATGCCTGCTCGCTTGAGCTATTCCCAGCGCTGTAGCAGACATGTCGCACACGGCCTGCCTGGAGCTCGAGTTATCCGCCCACAGCTCCTTTTCGCACGAACTGCTCCCAGCGTTGTAGCTGATCCTTCGCTCACTGCCGCCCTTCTCGCATGAGCAACTCTCGACGTTGTACCTGAAATGTCGCCCACTGCTTGCCTGGAGCACGAGCTCCTCCCGCAGCTCCTCGCACGAACGACTCCCAGCGCTGAAGCTGATCTTGGCTGCTCACTGCCGCCCCTCCCGCTCGAGCTGATCCCAGCGCTGTAGCTGATTCGCTCTCGCACGGCGGCGCTGATCCCGGCGCCATAGTTGAAGACGTTGATCACCAGAGTCTCCTTGCGCACCGTTCGCGGTCCTCGGCTCGGCATCGGGAGGCAAGAGAGGATCGCAAGGAGACAGGGAACGGGGAAGCAGCAGCCCACCTCCTTGGCGGCTCTCTGGCGACTGGGCCCGCGCATGGCCGTTGGCCTCCAGAGAAGATGCGTGTGCATAATTTGCGGGGCTACGAGCCACTTTCACAGGATTGGCCCATCGTGGGGCTCGTTTCGACTCCGATTCGATCCGATTCGATTTCGATGGCTTCCGATTCCGATTCGATTCGATTTGGGATTGCGATTTGGGTTCCGACTTCTCATTGGAAGCATACTAGCCTGCCGATGTCCGCCGATTCGACTTTTGCCTGCTTGGCTGCCGATTTCCGCCGATCCGATTCATTTCGATCGCCGATCCGACTTATCGGAAAACCTGGGTCGAAATGGATCGCAGAAACGAGGAGGAGGAGGAGGAGAAGCAGGAGCAGGAGCAGCAGCAGCAGCAGCACCAGCGGCAAGATAATGGAGGGGGAAAGGAGAGGGAGAAGGTGAAGGGGCGGGGGAGGACGAGGAGGAGAAGCATGATAATCAGCAGCAGCAGTACGAAGACAAGGACCAGGATGGAGGAGGGGGGAGAGCGGAGCACAGGGGGAGGCGGAGGAAGAGAAGAGGGAAGGGAGAGGGGGAGGGAGGGGCGAGAGGGAGGAGCAGGAGGGAGATGAGAGTCAGCAGCAGCATTGGTAGGGGGTCGTAAAATGAGGAGGAGGAGGAGGAGGAGGAGGAGGAGGAGGAGGAGGAGGGGGGGGGAGAATAGCAGGAGAAGAAGGAGGAGGCGGAGGAAGGGGAAGAGGAGAAGGAGGAGGAGGAGGAGGAGGAGGAGGCAGGAGAAGAAGGAGGAAGAGAGGCGGGAGGAGTGTAGGGAAAGACGGCAAGAAGAGGAGGAGGAGGAGGAGGAGAAGAAGCAAAGTGGCGGGGGGGGGTACGGTCTCGCTCTCTTCTTGGCCAGTTGCAGACTCGTGGGCCATGAGAGCCGCCGAGTGGTGGCACCGAGCCATGACGCGCACGGCTTGCAGCGCTCTTCCTGCCGCTCGTGCCGAGGCCCCGCTTGCAGGCAGGCTGCACTCCACGGCCCACGAGCGACGGATGAGACGCGCCGTGTCCGCGAGGTCGCGCGTGACCCCGGGGCACGGCCCGCGAGGCCGCAGGCACGGTGCTCTTTTTCTCGCCCACGACATATTGGCCCGAGCCGCCCTTTGGAGTAGAGCAGCGGCCAGCCCGCCCCCCTGGGCGACCCCCTGGGGCCGCCGGGCGGTCGGGCCATGGCGGGCGACCCCCCGCCGCGCCGGCGCCAGCCCTCGCTACAGGAGGACGGCGAGGACGGCGCGGCCAAAGCTCGGCGGCGGAGGCCAAGCCCTGCCCTCGCCGAGCCACGATTCGGGCAGTTCGATGGGCGGCGGGGGCAGTGTTCGGAATTCGTCGAGCACGTCGCGAAATCCGAGCCCTGCATCCCCCCTCGAAATCAAACGCTAGTTCTCCCCGCGACGTGACGGCGCCCCAGGACCCCCAAATCCCAATGTTCGCGCCCAGAGTGGCGACTGCGGGCACAAGAGGTCGGACCCGCGGGCCGCGCTTCGCGCGTCGACCACCATTAGAAACTGGCGGTTGATTTCGACGACGACGACGACGACGACGACGAAGACAAGGACGACGACGACGACGACGACGACGAAGGTTCGTCGTCGAACACGACGACGTAAAACACCTGACTGATTCGTACCCCCACCTTCCATCGATTCAGGGGGAATCGAGGGTTGGTGAGGGTAGGCTTCGGATGTCGCCACCGAAGAGCACAGCGGCCGGTCGTGGACGGTTCTCTCGGCCGCTGGGGGCCCCCCTCGCCAGGCCCCAAAAGCCGTCGAAGAAGCAGCTCGGGTGAAGTCGGGCACGTCCCTATACAGGAGGAATATTCAGGGATAGTAAAAAGTATCATCTGGTGACGACGTGACGATGCCCGAGCATGTTTTGACTGCTCTTTCTTTCCCTTCCAAAGTCCGTCTGTGGGAGGGCATGGCCCGACCGAAGGCTCGGGGTGGAAAGCCAGCCCCGGGGAAGGGGCCCAGGCCTCACTGGATCCACGCTGTGAGACAGTCACGGCGGCGTTGCTCCGGGCACGGTGAGGACCTCGAGGACAACGCCGAGGCCCAGGCGTGGCTGGAGAGCCGCCTGGACGGCCTGAGAGAGGACGACTTCGGGGGAGGCCTGCGGATCTTCTGCACCACCCACCTGCGGCCCCCGGAGGCCTTCCGCGACGTGTGGCACGTGGTATCCGCGGATACGGACGTGCACGCTGACACGCTGTCGCTCACCGCCGAAGATGCGGCCCAGCTGAACTGCATCCTGGTGTTCTGCAACCAGAACAAGAGCCACGAGGTCAGGAGGCTCGGCCAAATCATCGCCAGCATTGACGTGAGCGGCTTTGACGCCCCGCCGATGTTCTGGGTGCCCCACTCCGCCGATCCCGAGAAGCGTCGGCACGAAAACTCCAACATGGTACAGCCGGACGTGGCGGCGCATCTTCTGCAGCAGGGCCTGGACGGCGTCGTGGGTGTAGGGGAGCCACGGGGGCTACGGTTGTCAATGGCCGTGCTCTCGAACATGCGCAAGTCGCAGCGTCTCTCGAGGAACTTGGTAGACATGCTCGAGGAGTCGCGGGAGCGGAGCCAGTACGCGCAGCACCTCCGGCGGTGTGCCCACGAGGCCCTATGGAACTACGCGAGGGCGCGCCTAGCGCCGGGGATCCCGCCCGTGGACAACACGCTCGAAGCTGGCGACATGGACTCGCTCGAGCTTCCC